TGTGCTCACAGAGTTGGGAGCTGCGGCCAAGCCCCAGGTGCTGGTGCTGTCTCTCCCGTCCTCGTGGGTGTTTCAGCTTTGGCCCCAGGATGACCCGCAAAATGAGTCTTAGTTCCCACTCAGTGAGGAGGGCTGGGTCTCCCACACCAACACCCTACTTCCTGGTCAGACCTGTTTAGGGCAGCATCCTCCCCAGGTGGCTTAGCTCTGTCAGGATTCACCTCTGTGGGTGGAAATGAAATAGAATCCTGAACAAAACCTCAGGTGCACTGGGAAAAAGGAACAGAAATGGATATTGGTGTTGTTTCATAACCAGTCTATTGAGAAACACTGAAATTACTCTGAACTCAAAAGTCAAAAGATCTTGTTTCCTCATCTCACCATTGCTCTGAGTTGTGATCTGTCAAGAGATTCTCCCTTCCTACTTCCTTCCCAGACACATAAAAATGCATTCAAATCTTTCACTTACATCAAGGATAACTTATTTCCTTGGTAACTTTTAGTGACCGTCCTCTGCTTCTTTATTCTTATTCCATGACATGGGAGTCTCAGTTATAAATAACTGTATCACATCATCCAGATGGATCAAGCAAGAGAATTTACTACATGGGAAGTGGCAGCAAGTCAGCCCCTCCAACTGCAGTGATGACTTGGGGACCCAATCACCTCCCAGCCTTACACGTGAATCTCTTAACAGTCAGCAAGTGTCACTTCAGGATTCAGCCCCACAGAAGAGAATCCAGTAGGGCCATCCAGGGTCACAGACCTGCCTTCCGACTACCTGCCAGTGGGCCGGGGCTGCCTCGATAACACAGATTGGCTGGCAGCCACAGCATGCGTCATCTTTTCTCACACTTCTGGAAGCCCAAATCTGAAACCAAGGAGGTGGCAGGACTGGGTTCCCCAAGGCCTTTCTCCTTGGCCTATAGATGTTTCCTCTCCCTTGTATATGTATCTGTATCTGAAGAGCCTCTTCTCATAGGGACACAGAGCATGTAAGGTTAGGGTTCGGGCCCAGCATGATAGTGTAGTGGTTAAGATCCTCGCCTTGATCATGCTGGGATCCCATATGGGCATTGGTTCTAATCCCGGTGGCCCCGCCTCCCATCCAGCTCCTTGCCCGTGGTCTGGGAAAGCAGTTGAGGACAGCCCAAAGCCTTGGGACTCTGCACCCACATGGGAGACCTGGAAGAGGCTCCTGGCTCCTGGTTTCAGATTGGCTCAGCTTCAGCTGTTGCAGTCGCTTGGGGAGTGAACCATCGGACAGAAGACCTTCCTGTCTGTCTCCCCTCTCTGTATATCCACCTTTCAAATAAAAATAAATAAATCTTTAAAAAAAAAAAAGAGGTTAGGTTTCTTCTTAATTACTTTGTTTAACTTAGTTACCTCTACAAAGGCCCTAGCTCTACATACAGTCACATGCTGAAAAAGGGAGAGTTCAATATAGGACCTTCAACACTTCCTGAACTTGGAAAAGACACACACTTAGCCCAGGACACTGCCCCAAGGTATTGAAAGGAGCATCTGGTCCCTGTGGCTTCTGCAGTAGGTGGCAATCCACACTTCCTCTCCAGGCTACTTCCTGGCTACTCTTCCCTAAGGGAGAATGTGATGACAATGGGAAAGGGTATGGGGTGGCTCCTGGATGGTCAGCAGGAATGTCCCCTCTTCCCTCATAATGGAGAGAGTCACAGGAAATTTTTTTCTTTCTTTTCTTTTTTTCGTAGTTTCTGTCACCCAAACCCTGTGGTGAATGTAAGTTGGAGGCAGCTCAGGAAAGTAGTTCCTAGCTGCCACATTGAGGGAACTTTCTTGAGCCCTTTAACACTGCTGCTGAAGCCCTCCTGTGACCTCCCTGAGCTGTCCACGTCCCTCTTTGCCCCTCCAGTCCACAGCCCTTGGCCAATCGTTCTTTGCATGCTCTGAATCTGTTTTTGACTCTTTTCTCCTCTTCCTCTTAAGCCTTCCTATGGCTCTTGCTCAATAATTCTGTTCATGGGAGTGACCTCATCCACCCTGTGCCTCAACCGAGGATCTCTGGGTAAGTTCACACAAAACTTTCTCAGTGAGAGGGCTCCCACTGGGTATATTTGCAACTTTCATTCAAAGCAAACTAAAGCTCACAGCACATTATCAAAAATATATATATTTATTTGGGCCCGGCACAGTAACCTAGCAGCTAAAGTCCTCCCCTTGCACATGCTGGGATCCCATATGGTCGCTGCTTCTAATCCCGGCAGTTCCCCTTCCCATCCAGCTCTCTGCTTGTAGCCTGGGAAAGCAATTGAGGACGGCCCAAAGCCTTGGGACCCTGCACCCGTGTGAGAGACCCAGAAGAAACTCCTGGATCCTGACTTCAGATTGGTGCAGCACCGGCTGTTGTGGTCACTTGGGAAGTGAATCATTGGACGGAAGATCTTCCTCTCTGTCTTTCCTCCTCTCTGTATATCTGACTTTGTAATAAAAATAAGTAAATCTTTTAAAAAAGAGTGAAGCCTGGAACAGACCAAAGTCAGCAACCTGAAGTTCCATCTAGGTCTCCCACATGGGTGGCATGGACCCAAATGGAACATCTGTAACTGCCTTCGTAGACTCATTTGCAGGAAAGCCAGCTCAGAAGGGGGGCAACCCTGACTCAAAACTGCATTCTGATACACGATGCCAGTGCGGCAAGTGGGCGCTTCACCAGTGGCAAACCACTCTATAAGTTTAGAACATTGGCCATGTTGGGATATCTTATGCTGTGTTTTTAGTCCCCACTTGTCTTCTGAGTTCCAGGACCACATGTCTCAATGCCTACTTGACACCTTCACCTGAGACCTCCACTCCCACGCAGAATTCAGTAACATCAAAGGCCAAGGTCACTATCGCCTCCCCAGGCGTGCTCCTGTGGATGGAAGGGTGTGTCGGTGACAGCTGCTATTCCTCTCCTGTCCTGCCCAATCTCCTGCCCTTTCTATCTGACTCATCAGCCTGCACCCTGTGATTGCTCCCTCACTGAGGGCCACAGACAGGAAAATGAAGTCAGAGGAGGGACTGCCTTACCCCCAGGCACAAGGGGAAACCACTTGGAGAACTGAGAAGTGACCGGGGAGCTGAAGCAAAGGCACCTCTGCCCGCATGGACATCCACAGCCTGTGAGTGCCTTTCCTTGCCCAGGCGGCCCAGGTGAGCAGCAGAAGAGCCTGAGCAAGGAATACCCAGTTTCCATTTTTGGCCTGGTCCTGCTTGTTCTTACTCATTTTGCTGTCACTCGTAGTTGGGGGCCAGCTAGGATATAAGGCTGGAAGATGGTGGCCACAAAACGGTCACTGGCATTGACCAACTCCAGGCTCCAGAATGTTACAAAAAGAGGAAATCACATGTAGGGACTCACAGTGACACTGAACATGGTCCCAGGAGGCAAATGAGCCTGGACACCCTTGCTATCCATCACCCTAGGAGTCTGAAACAGGGACCGTGCCACGTGGCCCCGCAGGTGTCCACCGCGCTAGTGGCAACCCCTGGGATTTGGTGCATTGCAGTGCTTACACTGGCTATTGTGGTCACTGCCTCTCTCACCCTGAGAAACCCACCTGAATGCTCATGGAAAGTACACTGTGCATGGCTCTTAAAAATAAAACTTCCCACACCCTGGTTTTTGTTTTGTCTTGTTAGTTTTATGATTTTTAAGATTTCGATATGCTGATCCCAGTCTGGATTTTGCAAGATGTGAAGGAACAATTGAGAAAAAGTACACAAGAGTGGTCAGAGCTTTATTTCCAATGTCCAAGGGCATGTGGAGAAAGGATCTTGGCAAGAAGAATGTGCCTGGTACATGGATGGCGATGAGAGAGAGCACACAAAACAAACCCAGCCAACCCTGAGATCAACACTTACATGATCCCAGAGTGGGAAGGACATTAGCAGGAAATGGTCTCACACTGGTCCCTGCACCTGTGCCAGGCCCTGCCCCCTCTCCATCCAGCCAAGCATCATGTCACTCACCTGTCTGCTTCTCACCCCCTGGACTTCCCCAAGACAGTAACACCTGCACAACCGTCAGGATTTCCCGAGGGAGTAGCTCCATCAAGCAGAGGGTCTGTATTTTGTGTATGGCTCCTGACTGGCGAGGGTAGTGGAGGGGATGGAGGGGGAAGGGAAGGAGAGGAGAAGGGGGAAGGGTGTGGATATGTTCTGAAGGAGGGAGTAGGTTAACAACTTTACCACTTCCTGAACCTCTACTACTTACAAGCTCTGGGACCCACCTGGGCCACCAGACCCCCAGACCAGCCAAGGGCCATAGCCTCTGAGGGCTCTGAGGGCTCTGAGGGCTCTGAGCTGCCCTGAGCAGCTGGGGCTCAGCACAGCCCTGGCAGTATCTGGGTGCAGGTGAGGAGCTACTGCCCTTTCCTTGCCAGCCCTACCCCATTGCGTTGGTGATCCTTTCACCAAGGGACCATTAACCTTCACCCCCAGTTCTTTCTCTCCAGGGTCTGAGAAAGTGGTAACCCCCATGGATTACATTTTCTGGGACAGGAGCATGTGAAAAGAACCTGTTAGTAGAGAATATTTAGGCAAGACACAGCCAGTGGTTTGAGGATTTTAATTCTTCCTTCTGTTCTTGCCTATTTGGAAGCCAGGAAGGAGAGTGAGAGGTTTTGCAACAGGACCACAGCACTCTGTCCTGCACATCAGCTTCAGGCTCTGGCTGCCCCCTTCTTACACTGGGTCACCTAAGCCCAGCAGGTGCACACAGACATCCTGAAGCACTGAGAGTGGACTCTGGCAGGAGCTATGAGATCCAGATGATCAGCTGGATGCCCCCGGGAACAAGGGGACCCAGCCATTCCAGCTTCCCCTTCAGGCTCTTTCTTCCTATTCCTGCCATGGTGGCAAAACACTGGTCAGAATCTGGACTGGGAATAAATCAGATGACCTTCTGGGAGCAGGAGCCTGCTGAGTGGCTGCCTGGTGGGAAGGCGGGGCTGCTTCCTTCCCCTCTTAGGGTCTGTAAGGGCCTTTGCTGATCAGTGTGACTCACTCACGGCAGTGCTGCAGCATGGGGCAGCTGCTGTCCCCAGTGGCTCTACTGCTCTTGGGTAAGTTGGGGCTGCCAAGGCTGCAGGAGGAAATGCTAAGAGGTGCTGGGTTTAGTATAGATGCCTTCCCATGCCAGGGGAGGGGCCTGCACCGAAGGGTCAGACCTGTATCAGGGGGTTAGAATTGCATGGAGGGTTGGACCTGCACCGAGGGGTCAGACCTGCAACGAGGGGTCAGACCTGTACCAGGGAGTTGGACCTGCACCAAGTCTGCCACTTGGACTTAGCTCCAGGACAAGCCTTGTGTCCAGGACCTAGAGAGAGGGAAGAAGCCGATTGCACCTTGGGCATAATCAGGAGGTGTAGGACCAGGCTAGGCACCCTTATTCCTCCCTAGGCCTCAGGTTCTTCCTTGTCAACTGAGAACCTGCTCTCACAGGTGCCCGGTCAACCTCTCAGGCTCCCCTCCGGGCTGCTGCAGTTCTACCCTTTCCAGTGGCTAGGGGTCACATTGTGCATGGGACTTGATCCAGGGATTTCCAAGTGGTACCCTTAGATTGCATACTCTCTGAGGGAGCAAGGAGTAGGGAGGGTGGTGACCAGGGTGTGGGTGGAGGGTGGTACCCAGCAGCACACGTCCCCAACCAACACTCTGGGTGTCCTTGGTTCCCTGGGCAGGGATAAGGGTGTCACACTCAGTCTGTGCTCCACTCACCCTGATGTTGTACTGCTCAGCCTCTGATGCCCTTTTTTTTCTCTTGCAGTGTCAGCTGCCTCCCGGGCTGGTAAGTTTGTCTCAGTGTCTTGGGGTGAACATATGGGGCACATGAGAGTGCAATGGCCACAAGATGTTGGGAAACGGCTACTGTGGGGTGGTCGTGAACAGTTCCCCTGCAAGCAGACCCGGCCCGTGAGCTTGCCTGGTCAGTTTTCCCTCAAATGGAGCTGAGCACTTCCAAGCCAACAGCTCCAAGGCCCAGTCACTGGCTGCCTTCTGTGGGTCTGCACCTGCTCCTTGTGGCAGGAAGCCTCCCAGAGAAGCCAGCCCCAGGCCTGCCCAGCTCCCCATCCTCACCCCCTATTGTCTTGGCTCCTCAGCAGAAGTCCTGAAACCTGTGGTGCTGCTAGACCCTCCGTGGGACAGGGTGCTCCAGGAGGACCGAGTGACTCTCAAGTGCCAGGGGTTCCCCCCTGCTGCGAACAGTTCCATACAATGGCTGCACAATGGGAGCCTCATCTCAAGCCACACCCCCACCTACACCATCAGGTCTGCCCGTGCTGAAGACAGTGGAGAGTACAGGTGCGGCACCAACATCTCAAACCTCTCTTTCAACATCTCCTCCAACATCTCCTCGCTCAGTGACCCAGTGCAGCTGCAAGTCCGCGTTGGTGAGTCAGCCTGCGGGACTGGGAACAAACCAAGGGCCCTGAGATCTCGGAGAAGCCAGGAAGTGATGTTGGGGAACAAAACTAGGAGGAAGATTGTGGGCCAGAGCTGTACTTGTGGTTTACACCCAGGCCTTCAGCACAATGTCAGAGCTTCTAGGTGCCCCGATCAGGGCTGGGGCGCTCACCATGGCAGGAGTCACTTCCACACAGATGTCACAGCACCCTGTTCCCTCTGAGGTCCACAGGTCACGATACTGAGGCTGGCTCCCACACACAGACCCTGAGCCACCTCCCAGACCATCCCTACTCTCCTCGTGTGGCCTCTTCCTTCTTCACTCCCCATAACACCAGGCTCAAAGCTACGCTGTGCTAAAGCTGGCATGGTTTACCTTTCCTGGTGCAGGCAAAGACACCTTGAGCTCACATGTTAATCATGACCTATAAGTCTCTTTTTTAGTTAATTATTTTTTTAATATTTATTTATTTGAAAGCAGAGTTACGCAAAGAAAGTTTTCATCAAAATACATGCTAACAAGTGGTTTAGCATCAAGCAGTAAAATTACTAAATTTCATTTGCTTCCTTTGCCAGAGGTTATTTGTGTTCAATTTCCTTTCTATTTTTTAAGATTCATTTATTTTTATTGGAAAGGCAGATATACAGATGGTGATACAGAGAGAAAGATCTTCTGTCCTCTGGTTCACTCCCCAAGTGTCCGCAACAAACAAAGCTGAGCTGATCTGACGCCAGCAGCCAGGAGCCTCCTCTGGGACTCTCACAGGGATCCAGGGTCCCAAGGCCTTTTGGTCTTCCCCGGCTTTCTGACACTCCCGCAGGAAGTTGGATGGGAAGTAGAGCAGCCGGGGCCAGAACCAGTGCCTATATGGGAACCCAGCGCATGCAAGGCAAGGATTTAGCCACTATGCTACAATGCCACGGCACTGTGTTCAATTTTCAAACAAATATAAAGCAAAAGAGAGAAGATTAAAAATGACTTCTGTCCCATTCCCTAAGACATAGTCCCTATTGTGTGTAATTGCATGGCTTTCCTCCCTTCTGTGCATGTGCAGATTCCACAATATGTCATGAGTGCTTTTTCATGTCACTGTAGGGCTGTGCTCCTTGTCATCTCACCTTTCCAGGCACCATTTTGACCATGACTTCAGGTTCTGCCTTGCTCAGGCTGAATGCCTTGGTAGGATGGGGGAGGGGTGTTTGTGGGAACAGGTGTCCTGGTGTGTAAGGAGTAGATTAGGATTTTGCACATGTTTGAGAGTGTCCCTCTTCTGAAGGTTGTCCTCCAAAGGCCCAGCACCCTTCACAAACCACCATTGCCGAGTGCACCGCCAGGCCCGCCTCTCCCCTCCACTGTGTCTGCACACCCTGCTGTGGCCTCCCATTACTTTGTCCCCCGCCTGCTCAGGAGTCTTTCAGTATCTCTACAACCGCCTCTTCCTCCTAGAGCCTACCTTGTCCCTAAGGGGCAAATCAGCATCTGCAATTACAGTCCCTGCTCTTGGTTCTGGAACATGCCAGAACTCTTCATTCCCCACCACAGCGACCCCACCTCCAGTATGTCAGCACCTGCAGCTGTCCCAGCCTTGCTTCTCAGCTGCGCCATGGCTGAGCACTCTGCTCCAACCCCAGGTCTTCATCACGTGGCCGTGTGCCATCTTCCCCATCAGACAAAGGGCCTTGGAATGACTTGAGCTCTGAGGTCCAGCCAGTCCTGCCCCAGGGGGAGCCTTGGGGAGGTGGCTCCTGGCTCTGTGTGGCAGTGTCCCTTTCCCAAGTGCTATACACATGGGAGCTGAGGCCAGCAGGGCTCTTGGTGTCTTTCAGGCTGGCTGGTGCTCCAGGCTGCACGGTGGGTGATCCAGGAAGGGGAGCCCATTCATCTGAGGTGCCACAGCTGGAGGAACAAGTGCGTGCAGAAGGTCACCTATCTACACGCAGATGGCAGAGGTGTCAAGTATTTTCATAACAATACAGACCTCCACATTCCAGAAGCCAAACACACATTCAGCGGCTCCTACTTCTGTAGGGGGCTTGTCGGAAAGAAAAATGTATCTTCAGAGACCGTGATCATCACTGTTCAAGGTGAGCATGGCTGACAGCCTGAGAGCTCAGGACCGCCACGTGTGGCCTGCGCTCCCATCGGAAGGCAGACAGAGTTTAGAAACCATTATTATGTTTTAGATGGCTAAGCTGCCACCTATGCTCTTGTGTGTGCACCAGTTACAGATCAGACGGCTCCAGAAGAGCATGGCCAAATCTTGGGTCCTGTATCCATGTGGGAAACTGGGAAGAAACCTCTGGCTCCTGGCTTCAGCCTGGCCCAGCCCTAGCTGTGACAGCCATTTGCGAGTAATCCACTGAGTGGAGAATCTCTCACTCAGCCTCTCTCTCTGTCACTCAACCTTTCAATTAAAGAAAACAAATCCCTAAAAACTAGGACACACACGTGTGCCAATTTATACACGGCGCAGTTATTTGGTAACTTCACAGTTGTCACCTGAAACCCAGCTACAGCCCGACCTGCTGCCCACTTCCTGTCACCTTGCCACCTGATACACAGAGCCGCTGCCTGGAGCATGAGGGCTGCGCTCACCAGGGAGCACCTAGAGCAGGTGTCAGTGGGAGGAAGTACAGGTTCCTCCCTAGGGCCCATGTGTTGGCAGGTGTAGGACAACTGTTGCCTGGTGACCTTGCTAATCATTCCAGTTGTCTGCCAAATGCCTGTCATTATTCTCATCTCTCCCTTTTCCTGCTGGTGCAGCCAATGCAAGCATCTCGCCCTCCGTTCTGTCCTGGCACCTGATCGCCTTCGGCCTGGTGATGGGGCTCCTGCTGGCCGTGGACACAGCATTGTACTTCTCTGTGAAGAGAGACCTTCGAAGCTCCCTCAACACCCGGAAGGACTACACATTCGGGTGGAGCAAGGACATTCTGGACAAATGACATCTTGGTGCGGGGGAACTACAAGGACAGTGGCAGCAGATCTCCAAATTTCCCCGTGAATCTGCAACATCCTCATCCCCAAGGGGCATCCCCGCCAGCAACCAGAACCTACATGCAGGGTCCTCCCCACTCCCTGGTCCCTCGTCATTTCTAGTAGAAGGGAAGGATGCCAGAGACGCCTGGGGGGATCCGAATCTTCGAGAGAACAGCCCCTTGGGCAGTCCTGCCATGCCCTTGCAGCAGAGCCAACACAGGCCCACTGGCAACTCTTGCATACACATACATTGTTCTCGAACACACGGGGCAGTAGAGGAGGGAGGAATGGGGGAGGCCAAGCCCACAACCCAGCTGGCTGCAACAGCTGCTGCTGCTGTGGGGCAGGCTGCTCCCAGAGACCCCAGTCTCCTGGCAGACAGAGCACGGGAGCAGCCAAGGACCTCGGAGGCTCCATGAGAAGGGGAGGCTGAGGAGGAGCAGGCATGTTCCGGGCAGAACGGGGAGAGCTTGCGCATGCACCTAGCTCATGGTCTGGTGGGGGAGCAGATGACCCAGGCAGGGAACCCAGGGCTGAGGTGGCCAGGGGAGTCTCTGTCTCCTCTGTTGGGAGATGGGCTGGGAGGACATAGCCAGGAATCAGCATCTCCACCCTGTGAGTCGAAGATGGGCCTGGGTTGGAGACAGGGCCCTGGGGATCCAGAAAACAATGTGCAGCTCCTGGGTGGCTGTGAGCCTAGTGGACCTTGAACCAAGAAAGCACAGCAGGGAGGGCCCCCAGGAGTGCCAGGCCAGGGAGAGGCAGGGGCTGAAGATGCTTTTGTTGGTTTTTGGGGCAGGAGACAGTAAGAATTAGAGAGGATGGGAGGCGATGATGAAGCCAGCTTCCTGTTCCTGTGTCTGGTGCAGGGGTAGCTTTGTTCATGTCATTGAGGGAATAAAATCAGACAACCAACAGCAAAGATGCCGTGCTCCCCCGAGACAGGTGTTGAAATCCAAACCCTGAGCATGCCAGCTCCAGAGTGGTGGGAAGGAGAAGGCAGTGGTTGCTCTTGGCAGGAAGCTTCAGCTCGCCTTCATTGTTTTTCAAGTTGTCAGAGCATTTCTTGATTCCAATAAAACTTTGCAAGTTCTTGCATGCTATTTCACACAAAGATCGAATAAGTCGTGATGATACAGCAAGAACAATCAGCTTTACCCTCTCATTGTTTGGTCCACAATCCCATCAGAGATTGGTGAATGTAGATGGGAAGCCCCTCTTCCCTTAGTCACCCCAGTTCCTGCCCAAACGCTGCCCAGGCAGCTGGGCCAAGACCTTGCTGCTCGTGCTGTGCTGTGGGGAGGTGGAAGTGCCTACATGGCATGGGGACAGCAGGGGGAAGGCTCAGCAGCAAGCCAGGGCCACGGCCAGCAGCCACGTGCTGATATCAGACAGCGACCCCTTGGCCGTCTATTTATCTTTCCTGGTTCACACCGAGCGCCGGGCTGGGATCTGAGTGAACACCATGGGGACTCTGCTTTCCAGCGAGTTACACCGCTAAGTGCAAGAGAGAGGAGGCCACGATGGTCAGGCAGAGGGAAAATGTCGAGGGTCGGTGCAGTGGGTCAAGAGAACCGTCGGTTGTGTGGCGCCCAGGGACCCAGGGCGGCCGGCTGAGACAGGGGCGGGAAGCCGCGCCAGGGCGGGAGCCCGAGGAGAGGAGGTCCGTGTTGGCCGCGGGTGGGCGGGGAGGAGAGCTGTCCGGTGACAGGTGGCGCGGGATCCGGGAGCAGCAGCCGGGAGCGCAGGGAGCCGATCCCGGGGCCGAGGCCGGGACGTGCAGCCCACGGGGCGCAGGGCTCTGAGGAGCCGGCTGCGGGGCGCCGTGCTTACCTCCCAGCTGCCAAGGCAAAGCTAGACACTGCACGAAATATAACTTTCCGTAACTTTCCATTACTTTCTCTGTCCTATTTTCCTTTACCGGTACATTCCACTTAAAAACAATACACAAAAACGTGCTTGAAACAGCGATTACGAGACTGAAAACGTTAGCTGAAGGAACAATCGCTTCAGTGGAAAAGTTCTAAGCTGTGGTTGGTACTGAGAAGAGAGCTGGAAGGGTACCGAAGCCGCGCTGCATAACCATGTTGACAAAACATTAGGATCCCGTCCCTGGGTGGGCTCGAACCACCAACCTTTCGGTTAACAGCCGAACGCGCTAACCGATTGCGCCACAGAGACAGGCGGGAGGACTGGTCCCCGCCACGCTAGTTCACTGCAGCAGAGTCACGGTGCTGTTCCCGTTTGCCAAATTCCGGGCTGCGGGTCCGCGTGGGAAGCCCGCAGCTCGCCGCATCCCGAGAGGCGCAGGCGGTCCGTCCCAGCCAGCGTCGGCTTAGATCTGCACCCGGAACCCGATTCTGCCCCGGAAAGCTGAGACACAGAGAGGTGGTGTTGGTTGAAGGAGGCAGAAGACAGCGAACGCACCGAGGAACCTCGGGAATCCACAATGCTCGGCGTCTGGCTCCAGCAGTTCGGCTGGGACGGTTCATGTCCAGAAGCCTTTCGGCCGATCTGGACATCCTCGTGTGCGTGCGTCCACGAGCACTCACGTGCGCCCGGAGCAGGGTTTAGAAGATCGTGTCCCCTCCCGTCAGGCGGCCGCTGCACCTGTCTGGTCAAGCGTGGTCTCCGACGGAGGAGCTGCGCACAGTCCGGCCCGGCGCCCCCAGCCCTTCTCCAGTGGCCGCGAGCCGGGCGGGCGCTCTTCCGGAAGGCACGACTTCCCTGGGCACCTGACGCCCTCATTCCGCCCTCATTCCTCCCGCCTCCACCGAGCGCTCTCCGTCGGGGCTGTGCCTAAGGAGCCCTTGGCTGCAAAGCCTGCGCAGCGCCCGCCGCGGAACCCCGGCCCTGCTCCGTCTGCCGCCCCCACGCCGAGCAGGGTGACCGCTTCAGGTGCGCTCCAGGCTTTTAACCATGAGCAGCGAAATGAGAACACAGGCGAACATGCACGCATGGGCGGCCATCACACTGCTTCCACACATGTGTGTACATCCACGCTAGAGGGACCTAAGTTCCTGCAAGACCCTCGGAGCATGCCCCACGTCAGGGACCTGGGATGGGTGGGAGGCTCGGAGGAGCTTCTCCCTTTATCTTCCTCTTTACCCCAGATATAGGGGGGAAAAAAGAGCAATAATGTGGAAACAATAGTTTTACCCACTTTCCTTTAGCCCTTGGCACTTTGTGCCCTAACCAACTACGCAAAGATTGTCAAAAATAGAGAAAAAAAAAATTTCTGGAAACATGGAATTAAAGGATAATGGGAATTGTGAACGTTTTGAAACACTGGTATATAACTGGCCAAATGACCTTTAAACTGAAATAAGGTTTTCTACACCTAAAATTTCTGTTCAAAAAAAAAAAAAAAAACTTTTCTCTTATAATGCTACAATTAGGATGGATGCATGGTTGCTGTTTTATTAATTCTTTAGAACACGAAGTTGAGAAACCTACATTGGTAACCAGTGCGGTAGGAGTGTGCCCGTGTGTGAAGTCCAAGTTGAAGAATACTGCTTGAGCTTTAGCTCTTGGTTGGATTAGACAGCAGAAAATAAAACGTAATTACTTAGTGCTTTATCGTAAAGATCAACCATTTCCTATGCTTCACCTAATGTGTGCCTGAAAGCAGGAAAAAGAGAAATGAAACGGCATTTAGTAGAGATAAAAGAAAGTTAAGGCCAAAAGCAAGCACGCGGTGAGGTAGAGACCGTAGGGCCTGCTAGTTCTATCCTGCAGTCACCCTTATTTGTGGTCCGCTACACGGAAACTGCAGTCCTGCGGGACTTACAGCTGAAGACCGGGGCCAGGAGGGACAGCAGGCAGGCAGCAGTGACAGGTCACACGGAGGGACGGCAGGCAGGCAGCAGTGACAGGCCACACGGAGGGACGGCAGGCAGGCAGCAGTGACAGGCCACATGGAAGGACTGCAGGCAGGCAGCAGTGACAGGCCACACGGAGGGACGGCAGGCAGGCAGCAGTGACAGGCCACACGGAGGGACGGCAGGCAGGCAGCAGTGACAGGCCACATGGAAGGACTGCAGGCAGGCAGCAGTGACAGGCCACACGGAGGGACAGCAGGCAGGCAGCAGTGACAGGCCACACGGAGGGACAGCAGGCAGGCAGGCAGGCAGCAGTGACAGGCCACACGGAGGGACAGCAGGCAGGCAGGCAGGCAGCAGTGACAGGCCACACGGAGGGACAGCAGGCAGGCAGCAGTGACAGGCCACACGGAGGGACAGCAGGCAGGCAGGCAGCAGTGACAGGCCACACGGAGGGACAGCAGGCAGGCAGGCAGCAGTGACAGGCCACACGAAGAGCCCCAGTCGATGTCCCTCCCGTCAAGGCTGGAGCCAAGGATGACTGACCTGTGGGTGCCACTCCTTCCTAGGTGAGGCTGCTTGAAAACCCGCACATCCTGCCATTCACTTAGTCACAGGAAGGGATGGCAGTGCCTGCCCGTCGCCAGGCTTCGTTCCAGAGACACATGACACCCTTGCGGATGCTGCCGGTCTGGAGCGCCTGCTCTGCCGTTGAGGAAGCAGGCCTGGACAGCACCAGGTGCAGGGCAAGGGGCCGTTACACTCTGCCGCCTCATCCAGCCTGCTTGCTGGCTATCCAAGCTAACCTCGTCATGTTGTTCATCCTCATCAGAGACTCCTGTGTAAAAGACATGACAGGCACACAAACCTTCAGAAAATACTTTTTAAAGACTAGAGAAGTTGTGCATACATTGGCTGTTCAGAAATTTCCAGAGAATAAACCCTGGAAGCATCATACATATTCAAAAGACACAAGAAGTTTGTTAAAGAAATCATTAAATGAGACAGATATGTAGTATGTAACAGAATAAAATCATTAACGTTTTGGACTAACAGTTAACATTTGTAGAAATACTCACATTTCTGATCAAGACATCTAGAAAGTGTGTTATTTAGAGTTGTGCTCAACCCAGAATGAACCAAATGCGAACGGTGGGCGGCGAGGTAATGATGGGGGATGACGGATTATCAGTTATAACGCTCTTTGGACCAGGAAAATGGGGGAAGGCTGTACATGCGTGGGGATGGGTTAAGAGAGAGGGGAGATTTCTTGGTGAGTGAGTCCTGTCAGTTTTGCTAGAATGTAAAACTGACAAAAATACCATTTTTTAAAAAACGACATACACATCGTGGTCCAAACTTTACTTTTGAAAAGGGCAAAGAGATGAACATACACGACAAAGTAGTAAAGGGTTTTGTTGGCATTGGAGCAATGGTTAAAATAGAAAACGGTTCATTGCCGGTGTTGGTTAAGAAAAATGTGAGGAAGCATCTCCCCGTCGGGGAATCGAACCCCGGTCTCCCGCGTGACAGGCGGGGATACTCACCACTATACTAACGAGGATGACTGTGAGTCATGGTTTTAAATTTCTGCCTAGGAAAGATTCGAAATTACCAGTTCAATTTGCTGGACAATTTCTAGTTGCTGGTAAAACTGTACCTTCGCTGCCAGAATCAGTACATGACAATAGAAACATATAGCAAGGCCACCTGTCATTTATAATGTTCTCGAAATCACATGAGATGGTAAAAGAAAACATGAAATAACTATTTTTCCCCAACGAAACTGTTAATTATATCTTGACAATAGGATGCTGGACTCTCTGCCATAGTCCATGCCTGCAATGATGGACTGTTTATGAAGAACTATGCTATAGGAATCATATTGAGCAACTCAGTGCGGGGGAAGGGGGTTGGGGAGGAGGTAAGGGAAATCCCGGGCCTATGGAACTCTATCGCAAAATGATAATAATAATGTGAAAATTTTTAAAGAAATAATTATTTTAACTATAAACTCATATAACGCAACTTTATCAAAATGGTGCTGATATCCCAACATTAATTAACATAAAATACTATTGGCAGGATATATTTTGCCTTAGCGTTCAAAACCTGATACGAATTTTACACTTCACAACACTTTCATTGAAACGTTCCATTGATGAAATAGTGGATTCAAGTACTTCCAATAGCTAGCCAATAGCTGAGCCGAGTTTCCATTTCAAAATACCCACTTATTTATTAATTTTACTGAACTAACGTCTTTATTTCAGTTACATTTTTAACTGAAATC